GGTCTGTATGTGGGATCCGAACCCTCGGCAGGAGCGCCATCGCGCTCCCAAGCGGCACACTGTAGCAGTGCGCCACCGGGCCGGCCCCTGACCTACTTCTTTCAAAGCTGGAATTCACTCAAAGTTTGTCATAATTATTTGTGCGAGTCAATATTTACCAAGTCAAATTTTTTTCTGTCTAAGCTTTCCTTAAGCAACATGTTAGGCACTTTGTAAGCCTTAAGAATTTTTGTACCCAGTTCTGTTTTGTCTCATGTGAAATATTGCTAAATTAATCTTCCCCTTTAAAAATTTAGAGAATATACCAAATGGCACTATAGTAGCCTAAACTGAACTATTTTATGTAGTTATCAAAAATACTGAGATTGTTGTAAACTGACTCGTGTCTTGACTGTTGCACAGAACAGACACTCTCCACACTCTGGTTTTGAAATGTTATGTCAAGGCAGCCTTCAACACTTGATATAGTAATAGAAACACATAGTGAAGAATAAGTAAATTCCAACTCTTGTCCTAAGAATAGGTGCAAATGGACATAAACCCTTTAAATAGATACTTGCCTTTGTAAGTGACAAAAACTTGCCTTTTTTTGGCAGGTGGCTGGTATGGGGGATCCGAACCCTTGACCTTGGTTTTACCATTACCGTCCTCTGCCAAGTGAGCTAACTTGCCAGCCCTAAAACTTTCAAGGATGACAACAGAACTATATACATTTAGTCAAGTTTTGTTCTATTACAACTATGCTGTTGCTAGTGTTAGACAGAAGATAACTTTTAAAAGGTCAAGAAACTTAAGGAAATTAATTTTTAAACCTGCAGCTTGCTGTTTGCAGTAAAAATGTTAATATACCTGCATGTTCATAATATATCTGATTTAGAGGAATAGTATATGACACAGTGTATGTGAAATATTCATAATATATAAACCTTAATACAATCTTAAGAAAATACCATTTCAGCATATTGCCTCATTTTCATTAAAATGATGAAAATGTGAATTCAGAAAATCACTTAGTCCTTAGGCTAAAAATAGGTAGGTCATCAAAACCTAATATCATTGTAGCTCAACTTGGTATTTGTTCAGTAAATGTTCTACATCATAATGTGAAAAGTACAAAGGAAAACCCAAATTTATGGAAGAAATTGAGGGGATTTTTAAAAACAAGCAAATTTAGGGACCGGCCCTGTGGCTCACTCTGGAGAGTGTGGCGCTGGTAGTGCCAAGGCCGCGGGTTCGGGTCCTATATAGGGATGGCTGGTGCGCTCACTGGCTGAGCGTGGTGTGGACGACGCCTGGCCAAGGGTTGCGATCCCCTTACCGGTCAAAAACAAACAACAACAAAAACAAGCAAATTTAGCTAATTCCATTTTGTTTTGACTCTTCCCAAATTGAAACAATAGACTTATCATGAAACATTTACTACCAATAAAGAGTAAGT